ATATATATATATATATATATATATATATATATATATATATATATATATATGAATTAGTGCTGATTATTGTGTCAACTCTGGCCTCTCCTCTCCATATTTTTTCTCATCTTCTAGCATTCCTTCTGCTGCCCTTGACTTGCTAGACCATATGCTAACACTGGACCCCAATAAACGATGTACAGCAGAGCAAGCCTTGCAGAGTGATTTCCTAAAGGATGTTGATATCAGCAAGATGGATCCTCCAGAGTAAGTATCCTGCTAAAGGAAAAAGAAACCCATCCTTGGTTTACAAGCTAGTTCAAATTTGGAGGATAGCTTAGAATTGCCTACCTTGTACTTCAGTCCTGATATCTACTTTTTCTTTGTACATGCAAAGGCTGCTGGCATCCCCTTTATTCCTATGATATGTCTGCACGTAGCCACCTCCCACATTTTTTGGGGATGTGTGTGTGTCAAGTTCTTTGTGGAATCTGTTGGAGCTACAGATAGATGAGGCAAGGAGAAAATTGTTTAATCCAAGAAAAAATAGACATGTCTAGATTCAAGCCACATTTTTTCTGTAACTCCAAATTTATTTACTGAAATGGCCCTTGATATATATGCCCTAAGCTTTAAAACAGTAGTAGTGCAATTCTTGTGGCTTCTGTATAGCTTTAAAGCCTTTTGTGAAATCTAAGTTTATTCTTCCTCTCATTCACTCACTCCAAATGACCTCCCTTTTGACTTATATAAGAGTTTCTAACACACGAGAAAGGAGTTTTGCATTGGACTATTGGGGTAATGAGAGAAATACCAATAATCTAATATTAGAATTTTTATTTTAATTGTTTGCCCTTGCCATTATTGTCTCTAATGTTTATGTATTGTCTTTCTAGCCTCCCTCGTTGGCAGGATTGTCATGAACTCTGGAGCAAGAAACGCAGGCGGCAACGGCAAAGTGGGATTGCGGTCGAGGAACCTCTCTTAGCAAAGGTTTCCCGGAAGGACACAGCCTCTGTAATAAGCACTGAAGCTATCAAGAATCATAGCAGCCCAATACCCCCCCAGCCTGCTCAGATCAAAACACAACCTTGTGCTGGAGACTCATTTGGTTAGTGCATAACCTAAGAAAATCCTTCAAAATTTAATTAATTGGCAGGATTTTTTGCATCCTTACGTATTTGGAAATTCAACTTTCCAAACTGACTTAGAGGTACTTAGAATAGTGGTGTGTACTTTTTAAAAACACCATATGCATGTTAATAATAGTAATTAGTAATACATTCTTTATAGCCAATTTTGATTAGACATTTCTTAGCTTTATTCCACCTTAATTAAAGTTTCTGGGTAGTTTTTGGAAATTTATACAATAATAATAATTTATTAAACTTGTAGGCGGCCACCTAGTGGTCAACAATCTTGGGTAGCTCACAACAATCAAACAAAGAAATTATAATAAAATTAATAAAAGAGAAAATATAATATTAAAAAAATGGCAAGCACAATGAAGCAAGGGGTCTTACTCTCCCTTGAGAAAGCAAGGGTAAAGAGCCAGTAAATTTGTTGAATTTCAGTTTAGCAGTATTTTGATGGAAATCTCTTTACCATTTTACATGTGGATAAATTCCCATTCACATATGTATATAATATGCATAATATGCATATAATGCATCATGTATTAACTTCAATCAATAGTATTTGTTCTTCAGACAGGGTTTACTTGTGCCTGTTCAGGAACTAGGTCTCTACGTTTTTATTAAACATATCTAATAAATGTATTTTGGGAGTGCTGTGGCTCTGTGGTTAAACTGAGCTTTTCAGTTGGGAATCTAACAGCCCAGCTTTCAGACCTAAGTGCTGTGCAATGGGGTGAGTTCCCTTACTTGCCCCAGCTCCTGCCCACCTAACAGTTTCAAAGCATACAAATGCAAATAAATAAAGAGGTACCACTTTGGTGGGGAGGTAACAGCACCCCCTGCCCCTTGATGTAGTGATACTGGCCACATGACCATGGAAATGTCTTTGGACAATGCTGGCTCCCTCGGCCAAGAAACAGAGATGAGCACTGCCCTGTAGAATCAGACATGATTGGATAGGGGATATCTTTACCTTTTATCTTTACCTTATTGGACATTTCAGATAAATATATGTAAACAAAGAAGGGAAAAAAGGGACAAAAAAGTAAGCAAGGGATTTACAAATGTCTTAGGAGATGATAATTTTCCAGAATATAATTAACTGATTGTGAATAATAGAATACATTATATCATTTTAAAAGCTTGAACATCAGTTTTAATCTCTAAGCAAAGCATACATATCTAGAAACATAGTCAATACAATACACTGGAGCCTTGGGTCACGAACGATCCTGTTCGTGACCAGATTGCGTGGTGAACAAAAAATCCACCCAACTTTTGAATCTGGTCACGATTCAAAAATCAGGTGGCGAACAAAATCGGTGTGGAAAGATTCCTGTTCTGCGCCGATTTCCCCTTTGCCGTTTTTTGGGGGGGTCCACACATGCCCAGATGGTCGTGCTTCCAGTCCCAACCAAATTGGGTTGCGACCGTAGTCCTGGAACGGATTACAGTTGTGACCCAAGGCTCCACTGTATAAATCATAAAATGAAATTTGTGAATCTCAGTAAATTCAGTCCATATTATTAGAAGTAACTCTGCTTTAGAAGTCCTATGAAATTGCAATATAGACTTGGAGTCCTACTGATCATTGACAGTATTTTATTAATAAAATTATGCTGAGTTATTTAAATTTTGCATGTGATAGAATCTGTATATTGAATTATAATTGAAGAATCCAGTTTGAATTAAAATCTGTGTCAGATTTACTTTTGAGATACACATTATTTTAGTCATTGAGGCACACTTCTACAATTAATTAACTATTCAAGGGCTGTTGAAGTATCCAGTCCTAATGTCTCTTCTGTTCCTTACTCGGTGTATCACTGACTTCAAAGATTTATTTAGTATATCTTCTCATCCAATGACCTGGTTGAAAGTCACACTAAAAACAGTCCTGCAGACTTGAACAAAGAACAGATTATAAATAACTAAAATGCTGCTTTTTGCTCTCAGTTTAGAATTCTTTTCAAAAGACTAATGCGTTAATAGTTTCTGAAGAGTCCCAGTAAAGTTAACAGGTTCATTTTTCTGTCTTTTCTGACTTCTATCATCTACACACTAAATTGAGCTAAATTCTGGAATCTGAAAACAGATGGGGCAAATGCACCGAGGAAGCTGAGGCTGCAATTCCAATAGGCAGTAGTGCAAATTAGCAGGTGTATAAAACTGGATCAAACAGAGGAATTTCCTTAATAGTGTAGCCATATACAATAAAGGTGAAATGTGTGCTTTCCAGTTGTACAGTCTAGACTGATCCCCCAAATTAGTGAATGTCAGTTTTCCTGAACTTCAGTTTTTATAATCTCCAGCTAATAACATGAAGGCTAAGTTCCAGGTGACTAGAGGATACCAGACTGAGAAATGTTTCCGTAGATTCAGCTCCGCAAATACAATCCATCCTGGTATGTGAGATGAGAAGCTGGGCTTATATGATAGTTCTCCCTCTAGCATTTTGAATGAATCTCCTACTAGTATTTTGAATTGCTCTGGTTAACTTTTCTGTTTGCCCCTCTGTACATACCCTATGTCCTTAGACTGTTGTGTCATTTACTATTCTTACATTAAATAATTTTAAAAATTATTTTTTGAAGGAAAAGAGGAGAATAACACTAAATGTGTCTATAAGTAAGATGTAGTTACATATAGACACTTTCCTGGTCTACTTTTTCTAAGGTCTTCTTGCTTCTTTTTCTGTTCCCTGTTGCCTTCCTTCATGTTTTCAGCAGGTCTTGGTGACATCACACAACAGCTGAATCAGAGTGAGCTGGCTGTCTTACTGAACTTGTTGCAGAGCCAGACAGACCTAAGTGTTCCACAGATGGCCCAACTACTCAACATTCATTCAAACCCTGAGATGCAACAACAGCTAGAGGCCCTTAACCAGTCTATCAATGCACTCACTGAAGCCACCACCACCACCACCACCACCATTCAACTGCAGGATTCCCAGAAAGTGCCTGAAGAGGAAACAGCTGTTGAGGAACCACCCCCACCAGCCCATCCCTCTGAGGAACAACCCACTCCTGAAGCAGCAGGCACTCAGGGAGACATGCAAAGCGTTCTGGCAGTTTTGCTGAGCCAGCTAATTAAAACCCAAGAGCCTGCAACAAATACAGAGCAGAATAGCAGTGAGAAGAACAGTGATCTACAGGGGCAACGGAAAACCCCCACTTTGCCTCAGGAGGAAACTGCAGGTAAATAATTGTGACACCCCCTTGCTCCTAGGACTTAAGGGGGAAAATTATATGGGTCTTTCCATGTGGTAAATAAAAAACACTTTGAATATTCTTTAACCAAGCCTGGTAGTCGTCTCTGAGTGTGTGTGGAATCTGGCAACAGTTTGGGGTTCCTGAAAGTACTCGTCATAAGACCTTGAGCAAGTTGTGTACTCTTGGCCCTAGCTTCTCTTGTGAAAGAATTTTTAGGATGTAAGGCTGGGAAGTCTTGGCATGTACCTTGTTCAATTGAGAAGTGATTGCTCAGATATTCTCTTATATCAGTTTTCATGCACATGGAAGCTAGCATGGTACTGAGAAGGCTAGATCATAGTCCTCCTCATTATTGCCCTAGCTTTGTGCTTAGAAACCTTACATTTAGTCTTTAGAATGTTAGAAGACTAAAGCCTATAATTAATGTTACTCTAATTAAATCTTTAAGTCCTTTATGAAGGTGAACTTAAAATAGTTGCTGATCTGTGCTGAGGAAATGAGTTCTAAAGAAGTCTGTTCTACAAATGAGAGGACACAGATTCTCCCACTGAGGCCTACCCCATCATCTCACCCTTCTTATGAAAGAAACTATCACAGTCTAAACTGAAGTAGAAATTCCAGGTGCTTATTCTGAACTAGGCCAATATTGGTGGGGAGGGTCCATTCTTATCAGCTTCAATGGTTTGGGATATCTGATATCTTATCTATGGGGAGAACCCCTACATTTTACCAAAATGGAAATGAGCAGCATATTGCTTGGTCTCTTGCAATATTGAATCATTATACATTTCTTTCTTTTGGGTATTCCATATGGGTTTTGATTATGGGAAGGGCTATTGTATATTCTATATGGAATTTTGTTGTTTATATGATACTCTTCATAGTGAAAATAATATTTTCATTTGTTTAAAGGAGTGTATTTAGCTGCTTTATTTTCAGAGATAGTATTTGAAAATATGTGGGCCATGACTGCTGAAATTTAAGAAGATGAAGGAGAGGTTCAGCACCATTTTTTCTGGGAGGCAACTTCAGTACCCTGCCTAGATCTTTGTAACTAACTATGAAATCAGATGTATAATAAACAGTAAAAGCCAGAAATGATTATCTTGTACATGGGTCCCAGGAATTTAGACCAAGTTTGATGCAGAAATTTATTTTTCTTTGGTTTACCTCTTTTTTAAAAAGTTTTAAAGCACACACAGCTATTTCATACCTAGTACTATTACCCTGACTGGCTCTCAAAGATCTCAGAAGGAGAATTTTTGAGTCCTGCAGTATGCAATCCTTTTTATGTCCGATAATTTGAAAGTTATTTTATTCAAATATAATGTTCTCTTCCCTAAATGTTCCCACTTCCTTTATATCTCTCTCTGAAATGTTTAATGTTTGTTCACATGTACTTATGAGATGGTGTTTAAAAGAAGTAACCATTCCACAGCCTGTCCTCACATTCTCCCACCAGAGAAGAGACCCCCTGAGCCTCCTGGACCACCACCGCTGCCACCACCCAATCTGGCTGAAGAGAACAACTCTAATGCAGCTCAGGAGTTGAATCCGGCTATGACAGCCGCTCTCCTCCAACTTTTATCCCAGCAAGAGGCAGGGCTGCTGAGCCACCCAAAGCAGGAACCCCAAGTTGAGAAACCCTCCTCGGAATACACCAAGTCACAAACTTCATCCAGGACTTACAGCACCGACGGGCCCGAGGGCTGCAACTTTGATGTTGATGAAAGAAATTCCATCCAGACTTTAACAGAGACATCATCCCCAACTGCGGAGAAAAGTAGCACCTTCCTGGGTTCCACAAGCCACATCAGGGAGTCCAGCAGTTACCAGAGCACAGGATCAGTTCAGTTCCCTGGGGACCAGGACCTCCGTTTCACCCGAGTCCCCTTAGCGATACATTCTGCTATTGGGCAGTCCTTCATCAAAACTGAGGGGAGTAACAATACACTGGTACACTCAGAGGCCAACATTCATAACTACAATGAGGTGGGAGTAACAAATTCAAGTGACACAGGAACAAGCCACACGTGGGGAAACCCAGTCCAGTCCACTGCATACGGGAAAGCATTTCGTGGGCAGAATAGAGTACCTCCAAGAGGAGGAAGAGGGGTACCTTATTAAAATGACTGAAGAGATGGCATGAGGGGGGGTAGTGTTTACTTTCTTATTGTCTTGACCTCAGAGCAATTAGCTTGACGGGCAAACTATTGACCACCTACTATAGAAATGGTTGATCCCCCCCCCTCCCCCCTTTGCTCACTGGGCTGCTCTGTTTCTTTCCCCTCAGGGCTTTAGAATGAAAATTCTTTAGCCTTTTTGTGACATCATTCCATCCCCCAAAATCTATTGATTTGGGTTTGGTGTGATAAGTTTTGTTACATTGACAGGGGGGTGGGGGGGGGGAGGGAAAAGAAGGAAATATTTCTTAAAGAATAAATTGGAGACATGAATTGAATGTGCTTGTATGACTTGCGCTGTTATTTTTGACAGCCCACTGAAGATCTGGATGAGATGAATCAGTGTCTTGGTCTATGTTTTTTTGCAGAATAAAGTCTTAGAATGAGCTGTACTATTTCAATAGCAGGTAGAGAAATCCATATGTGGAGTAAGAGATAGAAATTTTCCCTTTTGTAGGTAGAAAATTCAGCATATTATGAAGAGAAATATTAGCCCAACATCCCCTTGGCTGTATTAATCATCTTTCTAAAGCCAAGACTGCACTTTCTGGGAAGAAGAATGCTTGAAAAGTGCAGTTCAGCATCATCAGTCACTCAACCAGCTCATTCTACGGCTCGTGTAGATCTAATCTCAGTATTGCAAAGTCCATACATGTTTTGTTTTTCTCTTGCCGCCTTGAATTTCAAGATTTGTCAGATGGTGCCTACATGCCTTTTATACTGAATTAGAAAAAAAAACTGCTTATGTTATGTAAGTCTTGGGATATTTTCCCTCTTCTTAGTTATTGTTTCTTTATATGAAAAGGCAGGAGGCTACATTCTTCCAAGGGTAAGCTGTTCCCTGGTTTACTGTGAAAAGCTATGTGCGGTTATACTTACTTCCAAACTTTAGCTGAACTAAGTTTCTGTAGTGAGTCCACTGAGTAGTGGATGGAATGATTATTTTTAAATTTTCCCTCTTAAGAATGGCAAGTGTCTTTTTGTTGAAGTTCATACAGCCTGAGTGAATGGCTAAAATAAAATAAAAACCAAAAACTTTGTAATTCTTAAATTCTTGGGGTAGAGGGTATTTAATACTAAAATGAAGGAAACTTGAATAGGTTTATTTTTTTCTCAGTCTTTAAAAGATAAGTGTTGATATCTCTTATATGATAAAACACTGTTTTCAGTGTTTGAGAAGACTTTTTGAAACATTCCTCAATAAAATGAGGGTACTTACTTATTTTTAATTCTATTTTTTATTTTTTGTTTTAGTAGTATCACTCATACTGATTAATTTTCAATTTCAATTTTTTTTATTCCTCTCCCCCATGTAGATCTTTGTGAAACATTGCACTGAAGGCTATAATGCTCCAAGATTTCAAAATACAGAATTATGGAGAGACATAATTTCTTAGTAACATGGCTCCACTTCCTCCCACTTCCAATTCTTTTAAATGAGGGTTTTCAAAGAGAGAAGCATGCTAGAAATTGAAAAGCATTGCGAATTTTGATAGTTGCTATAGATCATTAAAAAAAACCCTGCTTTCAAATTATAGCGAAGAAAAACTGCAATATTTGGGGAAGCACATTGCTGCTGAATATACTTTAAACATGATGAGGGAGTGATGTCATAATTGAAATTGAAACAAAGGGATAAGGGGGAATCATTAAGTATAGTAATGTGCCACCTTATATTAGAAAAATACTGTTTTCTTTGTTCTGCAAAGTGTAGAAAGTTTGCAAAATTCCAAGTGTAAATTTTGTGTGTACTTTAAAATCTTCAGTTCGTACTTAATGTGCAAAAAAAAAGTATTATATGTGCAGAATATGGTAAATAAAAGGGAGGGTTTTCTCTCTCTGATCCCCCTCCTTTATTATGCATTTTTCTTGATGTTTTTTATGTTAGCAAGCTTAAATTGTCCTGGTATCCCAATCATATTCCTTCTATCCTTTCTTTTGTCTAAAGACAGAATTATCATTTAGCCATATGGCCATTCATTTTCTCTTGTATTCACCTGAAAGAATTTGAGCATCACAGATACAATTACCTGCTTCAAGATTTTTTCCCTACCATTGGACATGAAAGACCAGATTAGGGACAGATTATCATGGAGAAAATGTGATTTAGAATTGATATCAACTTGAAGGCACAAACCAGAATTATGCAGCATTTTGGATTCCAAAAGAAGTATTTGCTTCAGAAAAAAAATAACTTTTTTCCTGAGATTTTGCAGTTGCCCTCTAGTATTACTCTGTGATCCTGGGAAAAAATGGATTTGGTTAAAGAAGTGGTGCCATGTATGCACACTTACGCATTTCAAAGCACTTTTTAAAAACCTTTGAATTAGAAGCATAGCACAGCTACTGTAGATAATTAACTTCAAGTGAAGAATTTGCTGTTGCAAATTGATTTGGAGGATAATTTTTCTTCTTTTAGAAGGGAGTCTTTTCAACACCCTCTTTTTCATGCTTTGTCCTATGCAGAACAGGCTTATAGATTTTGCAGAATACTAGTACCTAGTTCAGTACATTGAATGAAACAGGGAATTGCTTTGAATTTTAGTACAATTAAGGATACATTGGGAGGGAATTGAGAAAATGTTCACTCTAGTTCTGGAATTTTCAACAACTACTGTATCTTACAGTTTTTATATACATGGTTACCTTGGGTTTTTTTTTTAAATACGTGATTGCCTTGTTCATTTTTAACATCTTTCATCATTGAACCATATTAAGATTTCTGAATTAGTGCTATTCACCCAAGATGTAAATTGAGTTCACCTAAGACCATTACTTTATTCTACACCCCACCTTCTCCTTTCTGTAGGATGGTATCCTGATCTTGATTGGCATGGTTTCTTTTAAGGAGTGCTCTCTGTATTCTTAAGGAATTATAATATCCAATTAACTTGGATAAAACTTCAGGACCTTTTTTTTAAAAAATGCTACTAAGTGCTAGGGGATAGAAGAAGGTATAAATATCATGTAGGACAACTTTGGGGAGGGGGAAAGGTCAGTATTAAATATTTGATTAGCATAAATCCCTAATTTGGAATTTCAGATGCTTCCTGCTGACTTATGACCACAATGGAGCTCAAAATGTCTGTTGCTAAGAGTGAGAGTTAAGTAAATTTTGCCTCATTTTATGACCTTTCTTGCCACAGTCGTTAAATGTATCAATGCAGTTGTTAAGTGAATCTGGCTTCGCAAAGGAAGATCACGTGACCCCCAGAACATTGCAACCATCATAAATACATGCTAGCTGCCAAGTGGTTGGATTTTGATCACATGACCAAGAGGATGCTGCAACGGTCATAATTTTGAAAAATGGTCAAGTCACTTTTTTCAGTGCCGTTGTAACTTCAAATGGTCATTAAATAACTGTTGTAAGTCGAGGACTACCTGTACTTCTTCGCAAATAATTACTTGCATATATGAAGGAGCCATCACATACTAAGTACCTTCGTTCGTGGATTTAATACTTTTCAAAATAGTCGGAAAATTAACACATACGTACCTTTTGACAAAATAATAAGGCAGAATACCTCTAATAAAATAGTAATTATGTTTATCAAAGCTGAAGTTTCCTTGTCTGTTACAATTTCAGAACTACAGTACTCCTGTAACAGATCCTTAGCTTTTCTTATCAAGTATATTAGCAATAGCACTTTCAGGGATCGTTTTAAAACTCCTTACAACATTTTCTACAAAACACACACACATCCCCAAGAAAAGGGGGGAAAAATAGTGATTCATCATGCTAGTACTAGCCTGGTAGGTTTAAGACTATCTATTTTTGGTGTTGGAAAAATGCAACAAAAACGAGTTGCTGCCTGCAAATTCCAGTGTACAAAGATGAGAGTACATGTATCTGTAATCTGGCAAATTAATTGAAATTTCAGATCAGGGATGTCAGGGCAGGTCTTCTCTAAAGGTCAGTCAGTTCACTACATATTCCTATGCAATATGTAGATACAGTACATGCGAATAATAGATTGTTTTCCAACTCTGTTCAAAGCAAATGCAAGACACAGACCTGGAGAATATCAAGTGTGAACAGCATCTGAGATCTTAAAAATATATTGTGCTCATCTGAGAAAGGGTTGCTCAAGGATGAAAAATGAGGGAAAAACAAAATTGAAATATCAGTGCTACTAGTACTGATCTGTGCCTCTGTCCTGTAAGTTTTTTGTTATTCTATTTGTAAATCTTCATGGTCCATCATTTACCTGTAACTCCTATTATTGCAGTGCAAGCAGTACATAACAAAAAGCTATAACTTCAAGAGTAAAGAATGCAAGCTACATTGAGGCCTTGATCCTGTTTAAATACTCCAGTGGTGGTTGATTAATTGCCTTTACAGTTTCAGTATTAAAAAGCATATTTGCAACTCATGAACAAGAGCCCTTTGTGGGCTGTATATAAAAATTCTGCACAGAAAAATAATAATCAGATTAGTCTAAACCATATGGTTGAAACAGTGTTGGCGTATTTTGCTTTTCATCAGTTTCAATTGTATGGTTTCTATTTTGCTAGTCAGAAGAGCATAGGACGGCATTATTTCCCCTTGCTAGTTAGTGGAAATCTTGTTCAAAAACTCTTGTCTCTTTTGAAATGTTGTCAAGCTATGGCCATCTCTCATATATCTAAAGTCATTTTAAAAATCATCAAAAAAGGAGAAAGATATAGTGTGGGTGGGTGGGCAGATTTACATAGATCAGTTCTGTGTGTATCCACTTCAAAATATTTTGCCTGTATAAATACAGGTTGCTTTTATTTGTTTAGAATTCACAAATTCCATCAGTTTTGACAGTTTCTAATTTATACAGGAAGTCCTTGACTTACCACCAAAATTGAGCCCAAGTTTCCTTAGCTAAGCAAGACAGTTGTTAAATGAATTTGGCCCCATTGTATGACCTTTCTTGCCACAACTAGAAGAGTCACTGCTACTGTTATTAAGTGAATCTGCTTTCCCATTGATTTTGCTTGTCAGAAAAGTCACAAAAAGTGATCACATATGCCTGGGACACTAGCTATCATAAATACATGCTAACTGTCAACCATTGAAATTTTGATCTCCTGGGCAGTGAAAGTGTGAAAAATGGACCAAAGTCACTTTTTCAGTGCCACTGTAACTTCAGAGTGTCATTAAATGAATAGTTCTAACTTGAGGACTATCTGTATAGCACAATCATATATGTCTTTGGATAGAAGGCACATTGAATTTAATAGAATTCCAGCCTTTGATCTGCAGATTTGGGAATACTAAAATGCAATTAGCATTTTAGTAGCAGTTAATACACTGCAAACTAATTCACAATATTTAAACGTCTCCATTGAAATACCAAACAGAATATTTAGAAAACTGAAATGCAGAAGTTAATCTAGCTATTTGAGTATATGACATTTCTTTTTGTGGTTGCATGTATTCAAATAGCTAGATTAGGAATATGCTCTTAATTATAGAAAAACAGTTTCAAGAAATCTCAAATCTGCATTCATTAGTTTAATTCCACGGAAAGCCTTTCCAGTACCTTTCACATTTTATCACTCTACAA